TCGTGCGCGAACCTGATCAACCCGTATTCCAGAATCGAGGTGTATCACAAGGTTTGAGTTCGAATTTGTTGCGGAGTTCATTCCTAAATAATTTTAATGATCTCAAATTTCGTATTAAGACAGACTCAGATAATCTTGCGAATGCGAAAATGATGCGAGAGGCAAGAAAAACGGAGAAAGAAAAGACTAGACAGCTGAAGATTCAGGATAAACTATTGGAAAAAGAGAAGTAGATGATGTTAATAGATCCAAAATCGATGCCAACACTAGAAGGGCAAGAATGGATTCATATGCGACAAAGAGAGATATTGGAATCTATGCGACAAAGGTTGTCATAGCCTATTTATTTATTTAATCCAAGCTTGGATATTGTATTGTTTCAGTTATTTGTAATTGTTTTTAATCCATGATAATGTGTATTACATTATTTATTATTTTGTTCCATAATGTAATGTATTGTTTTTAGATGAATGTAGTGATGATTCCCAAATGATGAGTAAATGAGCTATTATATAAGATGAAAAATATAGCCATTATAAATATAGTTGTTGGGAAAAAAATTTATTAAAAAAATATTATTTTTAGAGAATGATAATCCAGAGAGGCTCAAAATCTAGAGAGCAAAAGCTGCCTATGTGGCTCTTGGAAAAGCTAATGTGGCTAATTTAGAGAGCAAAATTATGGAAGGGCAGTTGCAGATGGCCTAAGAAAGACAAAAAAATGAATGAAAGGGAGAGAGAGATAGGGATAGAGATGAGACATCCTTATGAAACTGTCGGTTTATCCCTCCTTTTGCTTGGTTGGTGGACGGAAAGAAATGTATGTTATTTTAAAGGAACACCAAAGACGATAATGAATGGTATATCATTAACCTCACAAAGTAAAAATAATAATTCAAGTTCTTGGAAACTAATGAGTATTGAATTTATTTTATTTTTAAAAAAATTAAAAGATTAAGGACAATTTAGGGTCTAGGAAGTACGGTTGCTTCTAGGAGAATAATGTACCTATATCGGATACTGATATTTCACGGATACTAGCAGATACATGTGATACTTCTTAAATATATCCATAATTTTTAAATATATATATATATATATATATATATATATTAATTTTCTAACACGTACCCATACTTCTTAGATATTTTGATTGCGTATTCGACATTTTTAGACACTTCATAACACATTTTTAATAAGTTTGAATATTAAAACGCAACTTTTCCAACAATAATAACATATTATAAATTTTAAAATAAGTTTAAATTTTATTAAGTGATAATTAGGGATGTTTGTTTTATGTGTTGTGAAACGAACTTCTATATTATATTATCTACGTAAAAAATAAAATAAATATTTATATCTATGTAAAAAATTGAAAAAAATTTGCTCATTCTGTTCCAAAATAAGTGTTATGCTTTCCTTTTTTGTATGTTCCAAAATAATTCTCCTCTTTCCTTTTTCAAACAATATATTTTACATCTTTCCATATGTATCATTTGAGTTTTAAATTTCAATTTGAATATTCAAAATTTAAAAAGGCAATTTAGTAACTTTATAGGAATACAATACATGCCCCACATGTCTCCTTAAAAATTACTACTTCTCAAAAGCAACATTTAAATTGGGACAAAATGAGTAATTTTATACTTATGTAAAAAATAAAATTTATTAATTTTTTATTGCGATATCATGCCATACTTGTATCCAATTTTTTTGATATTTTCAGATTATCGTGGCATTGTTGCTAGTTGTAACTCTAATAAATAAAACGACTTTCAAGTAATTGAAAAATGTTAACAAAATTCTATAGTGTTCAAAATGAAATATGTAGGAACAATTTTCACAACTAATAAATATTGCATTCACATCACCGCAACTTCAAAAGTATCAGTTTTGAGTTCTCTAATACCAAAATCTCCGTGGAATGTGTGTAACGGGTGCGGGTGGGCTGGGTCTGGTTTTGATACCAATTGGGGTGGGCGTTTGCCTATTTATCTAAGTAACTGTATACTCACCAATTTATATCTAATTACTTTTTCATTCGAATTCGATGTGAGACAATCGAATAAATAACCCTTGTTACAGTGTGTGTCTGTGTGTACTCTTGGTAATGAATTAAGTAAAAATTTATAAAAGCCACTTTATTCGTCATAAGAATCATAATCATAATAGAAAAGCGAGGAATTAACTAACACTTTTCGATGGCCAAATTGCCCTTCCACATTTTTCGTAAACCTTTTCCGCTATATCTCATCCTAAGGCTTGAGCAAATTATCCACTATCCATTATCCAACTTTAATATTTTGAGCTTCCTAAACTTAATAAGGTAGTAATTTTGAGTGTAAAAAGTCAATAACACTCTTATATTATAATAATATATTATATTATCTTTTATAAACGAGAAGAATAAAATTTAATTAACAAATCTGTAAGAAAGAAAATTTTATGGATGATTTGCTCAAAGCTCAAGAAAGTCAAAATAATTTACCCTTTCTTTGATTTGCTCAAAACATTATGAGTGATTTGTTCTAACGTTGTTAGATATATTTTCTCTTGCATGTAATGATGATAGGACTAGAACCCTAAACGTTTAGGGCTTTTAATTTTGAATAGAATAAAGATATCCTTCTAAAGTTAGTTGGAGCACTTTATTTCACTTTCATTTGGCAAATGGGAATGATTAGTCTCTCTTCTAGAGAGAATCATATGTTTGGTTCAGTAGTTCACTGCTGCTATTGTCTGGTGGTTGAGGCCATTATTACTTTGTCCCTTCAAGTATGGTTTCTGCACAAAAATGAAAGAAAAATGCAACCATTTGTTTGCACACAAACAAAAGAAAAATATAATAATAAATAAAAAATTATAATGAGGTGCACTTGATTACAAAACAAAAAAATACTCTCATTTTTTTAAACGAACAATATGAAAATTTCACTGTTATAAAATAAACTAAACGTTTCGGTCGACATTATATTTTGTCTTTCTTTTAACTAAATTGAAGCTACATCTTTGATTATTCAAGTTATTTTTACATGATCTTTTATAACAGGGTCATTTTAATACAAGGATAGTGATGGTGATCCGTGTGCAATTTTTTTAATTAATTATTTATTTATCAGAATGTGCCAATCTAATGTATAGCTTATGACATCAAAAGTTGTGACTTAGTAATATCTACGGTACCTTTTACAGTGAAACAGTGGAGTTTAAATTTCTATATATATATATATATATATATATATATGAAAGGAAATTTAAATGTGCCAATCTAATGTATAGCAAACTACTTTTAATGGCCATAAATATATAACCATAAATAAGATTTTTTAAAAATTTTGGGGGGCCAACTCTAATTACTCTATGCAAAATTTGGTTTTCAATATAAACTGGTTTGTCAATTCTATTACGTCTGTAAGAACAAAAACAGAAACCAAATTCAAGGTGCACCATGTAAAAATGGATAATTGTCATATACCAAAAGTAATTTTGGAACATTTAAACGAATTTGCAAGGTGCCACCATGTAGGTTAGTGATTTTGTTGGTAGAACTTAAATTTTCGAACTAGTATACCTGTAATTAGGGACGGTAAAAATTTCCACCTTGACGGCCCCATCTCGTTTGGAGGTGTTTTTGGGAAACGCTGCTTTAAAAAATTCCTACCCGGTGAGTCTCGCCTAAAAAATCCTACCCTGCAAAGTCTGTTTGGGCCGATTTTAGAGAATCGATTAATAAAAGTCAGGATGTAGGTTGTTTTAAAAAACTGTCGAGTTTTGTGACTGTTATGGGGTAAAGAAATTAAACAAAAATATAATTGAAGAATGAGATCCCAACACCATTGCTATCCTATTCGTAACCAACTCTACATCTTTCTAATTTGTCCAAAGAAATTAAAAAAAAAAAAAAAAAAAATTCCCCAAAAAATGGTACCATATCATACTCATAGTTACCAAAATGTCAAGGATATTTATGAATAGATGGACAAATTAAGGACATTGACTACTCATAAGGAAAGTAAAAGGATAATTGACTTTAAAAGTCACATCACACAAGCCATTACCAATGGATCGCGTGGCTATTTGGTCCCATTTTATGTGTACGTGTCAATTTGACATTCAACGTCGTTATAGATTTATTTCAGCAGCATGGTCACTTTATCATTGCTTATATAATGTATTTATAGATAGTTAATAGTATAATGTATACCTTAGAGAGTCCCAAAGGTCCCTTTCTCAGTCTCCCTGGTCATCTAGGAAACGATGATTTCATCTCTTTTTCTTACTCTAAACCTCACTTTCTCTCTCTAAATCTATATATATATATATAATATTTGTAGTGTCCTTCACGCTTCAACACCACTCTTCTGTCGCTGATTTGAGGCCATTTCATCAGGTAACAACACGTTAAACTCCAAACTATGTTCCTTCAAATCATGGCCTCTAATAGTGCCTTTTTATATTCTAAATCATGTCTTTGATCTCACTCAATGCTTTTGAACCCGCCAAGCACGTTGTTTCTGAACTCTGAAGCTTTCTTTTTTACTTGATATGGTAAAATTCTCGTGTTTGTTTGGAACCCTATTTTCACATTACAAGAAAAAATGTACCCGCTATAATAGGATTGCCTCTGCTTTTGTGGTTTTATTTATTTATTTATTATTATTTTTATTTCCTTTATTTATTTGAAAATTCAGTTTTTGGAATTTTCTGAGACTTGGGTTTTGTTCAAAATTTATATTTGTGAAAAGGGTTTTATTGAATTTGTTTGTTTGATATTAATGGTTGAAGTATGTGGCTTTATTAAATGGGTAATAGTGAAAGGCCATTTAAAAGAGCGTTTTCTGGAAACAGTAATGGTTTTATGTTTTCTCACTATTTCATCTATTTATGATGCAATGTAGGCCTTTTCTTTGATTATCAGTTTTAATTTTTGGCAATAATGACTCTTTATGAACTTTAATCGAATGGGTAGTGTTTAAAAAACCGATTTCAATAAGGTGGTTTTCAGTTTTTACTGAAAGAAATTAGTTGAATTTCCTTGTTTGTTACTGTAAGGTGCCCAATTTGAAAACGTGTTGAACGTACCACCTATTCGGTTTTTTAAGACTTGTGACACTTTGCTTAGTTTGTGAGAGAATCCAGATGGGTAGATCCTAGATGGGTTTTGGGTATATAAGGAGGTCTTGGTCCTTCTTTTCATATATGTAAGAAGGTGTGTTCTCACCTGTATTCTTTGAAGTGAATAGGACAAATTTTAAGGTAATAATTCTTGTCTGAGCTTCAATTTGAAACAGTCTGGTTCTAGTGTTACATCATTTTCATGTACTATCTATGTCTATTTGTTTCTTTGAATGTTTCCTTGTTCTTCTATTTTCTCCATCTATTTGTTTATTTGAATTTTCTTTCCTAATGTATATATGTTTGCATTTATAAATTTAGTTCTATTTCTTGATTTTGTGGATTTTTGAGGTATTGTATGTGTGTGAAAGAGAGATTTTGGGTTCTATTAGTATAGATAGTTTGCGATTTGGCTCTTGGTTGTATGCCCTGCTTCTTTTTATCTTTTCACATAAGTTTTCCGGAATTGTGAAGTGAAAATTTTGTTGGGAAAATTCCCAAAGCTCTTCGTCTTTAGAACTTATCTCAGTCAACCAACTCTTTGTCCATTTTCTTGTTTTTGTCTACCATTGATTTTTCCCAAATAACATATTTAACTTTTTGTTTATATTTGATTTCTTTGAGCCAAAAACAAACCATCAAACCATTCATTTTCATTGCCCTTTCGCTGCACTTGCTTGATCAGTTTATATATATTAATCCCTTCTTTTTGTCTCTTGGGAAATATGACGGAGGCTGATTACGTAGGCTCATAGTCTGCATAGAAGATTTTTCTCTTTAGTAGATTGAATTGCACCTGCCTTGATGAGAATGGATGAATGAAAACTATAAATTAGCTAAGTTGTGAGGACTACCATGGTGGTGAACCATTTCTGTTAATTTTGGAGAATGACTATCAAAAAATATATATATATTTTCAATTATGATTTATGCAGAATTTGGACAAAAAACTTGATCTTGATTTATATTAATTTTGATTCATGAATGGTTTCTTCTGGATTCAATTCCATTTCCTTGGAACATCTTCCATCCATGCAGCATGTAAAAACTTTGTTTTGTGGTCCTTCCCAGTTGAATATATATATACATATGTGTGTGTGTGTGTGTGCGCCTGTGTATATTTATATATACATAAAAGGATGTGCTCTTGAGAAAAATATGTTAATATGACACATCCATTGTTTCATACTCTCGATAACAGAAAAAATGGTGAAGATCTGTTGCATTGGAGCTGGGTACGTTGGGGGACCTACGATGGCAGTAATTGCCTTCAAGTGCCCCTCAATTGAAGTTGCCGTTGTTGACATCTCCGTTTCTCGGATCGCAGCATGGAACAGCGACCAGCTACCAATATATGAACCAGGTCTTGAAGAAGTGGTGAAGAAATGCCGAGGGAAAAATCTGTTCTTCAGCACCAACGTTGAACAGCATGTATCAGAGGCAGACATAATCTTCGTTTCAGTTAACACCCCGACCAAAACCCGGGGCCTTGGAGCTGGAAAAGCTGCAGACCTGACATATTGGGAGAGTGCCGCCCGGATGATTGCTGATGTGTCGAAATCCAACAAGATTGTAGTTGAGAAATCAACTGTTCCAGTGAAAACAGCTGAGGCAATTGAAAGAATCTTGAGCCACAATAGCAAGGGGATCAACTATCAAATTCTCTCAAACCCGGAATTTCTTGCGGAGGGAACTGCAATTCAAGACCTTTTTAACCCAGACCGCGTTCTCATTGGAGGGAGAGACAACCCTGATGGGCAAAAGGCAATCATAGCATTGAAAGATGTTTATGCTCATTGGGTCCCTGATGACAGAATAATCTGCACCAATCTCTGGTCTGCAGAGCTCTCAAAGCTAGCTGCAAATGCCTTCTTGGCTCAGAGGATTTCTTCTGTCAATGCCATGTCGGCTCTTTGTGAGGCAACTGGGGCTGATGTTTCGCAGGTTTCTCATGCTGTCGGTAAAGACACCAGAATTGGGCCCAAGTTCCTCAATGCCAGTGTTGGTTTTGGTGGCTCTTGCTTTCAGAAGGACATTCTCAACTTGGTCTACATTTGCGAGTGCAGTGGCCTCATGGAAGTTGCAAACTACTGGAAACAAGTCATCAAGGTGAATGATTACCAAAAGAACCGATTTGTAAATCGGGTTGTGTCCTCAATGTTTAACACGGTGTCTGGCAAGAAGATCGCCATACTTGGCTTTGCCTTTAAAAAAGACACCGGTGACACAAGGGAAACTCCAGCCATTGATGTGTGCAAGGGGCTGTTGAGGGATAAGGCCAGCTTGAGCATATATGACCCTCAGGTCTCTGAAGACCAGATTCAGAGGGATCTGTCGATGAACAAGTTCGACTGGGACCATCCAATTCACCTCCAGCCAATGAGCCCTACCTCTGGGAATCAAGTAAGCGTAGTTTGGGATGCTTACGTGGCAACCAAGGACGCACATGGGATCTGCATTTTGACCGAGTGGGATGAATTCAAGATGCTCGACTACCAGAAAATCTTCGACAACATGCAGAAGCCGGCATTCGTTTTTGATGGTAGAAACGTAGTGAATGCAGAGAAGCTGAGGGAGATTGGATTTATTGTGTACTCAATTGGGAAGCCATTAGATCAGTGGCTCAAGGACATGCCTGCTTTGGCATAAGACTACAGTCTCATGGGGTCTAAAGCTAGAACTGGAAATTTGTGACAGAAAGTTCAAATTTTTTTTTTTTTTTTTTTTTTTTTTAAATGTTTTTCTTTTCTGCTAATGTTTGATACCTTTAAACTGCCAATCATTTTGGCCTTAGAATTATATATTTGTTGAAGTCAGAGTTGTCATATTATCCCTGCTTTTTATTTTTATTTTTATTTTTTATTTTTTATCATGTAATAAATACTTGATATGGTCTATTCTTATACTTGATCTATGAGTATATTTTGTGCTTTGTCTTCTACTTGGGAAAGATTTTAAATTTTCAAGTGGAAAGTTAAAAGGAGAAAACATTGAGAATCAGAACCATCTCAAGGATGTAAAATGATTGTAGGATTCTAAACTTCCTTTCAGTTTTGTTTTCTCAGCAGCCAAACAGCTGAAAGGTTTAATTCCATTATCTTAAACGACTTCTTTGAGACTTCAAATATAGACTAGATCAAATACAGTGGATTGTACATTTTCAACCGTCTACAATGGAACTTTACCAATGTTCCAAGACTTCGTCCATAAAATAGAACTCTCGGCCTCCCATTTTAAAAGGACGAAGATACCCTTGGCGGTAAAAAACTGTACAAAAATCTTTTTTCTATTTTTTGCACATTAATGTTTTAGATAATTAATGAAGCCTAAGCTATAGAGAAGTTTTCTGAGTAACCAATGAAAAGAAGTCCAAAAGGGTTACAGGTGACAATAATCTTATCATGACAAGAATCTTATCAGAATAAATAAGAAAAAGATGTGAAAATAATAGTAGTAGTTAAATTTCAATCTAAGAATGCGCCTTTTGTGCTTTACATTCAATCTATTTTCGGAGGTATTATTATATTTTTCGGGCAATCACCTTTTGACACTTGAGTTAAAAAAAAAAAAAAAAGAAAGAAAAAAAACAAGAATAAAACTTATATATTTTTGACAAATTTGCCCAATAAATGTTACATAATTTTGATACATTGTGTGAAATGTTGATCGACCGAAACTAATGACCTCGAGATCATATAATATTTTTTTCTATTTTCGTAGGTCCACATCAGAAATTTAGAGTTAGTGGGTAGAAATATATACATATATACACACACAACATACTAAGGAAGAAAACCTAAAATGAAATTAATGTTAACAAAAAAACATATAATGGAACTTATTTGGGCATTTGTAATGGGCATTTAACCCCACCGAAACTCCTACATCCTCATTGTGGTCAAACGAATTATGACCTGAACGTGTGAGCATTTCACATGATATCGAATCAATAATTGAACATATTTAGGAACAAAAATTTAAACAAGTCCATGTGAGATATAAACCTCTAACGACATCCCAAGTCATGAACTAGCATATTCTCTTTAGATATTCAGAGCCCACATAATGATGATCATTGGATTGGATCGGTCAAGCCCAAAACACAATGTTATCCGCCTAAAACATTAAATTAATACACTTTGTTGTAACTCCATTGACAAAAAATTTCAGGAAAAAAAAAAAAAAAAAAATGACCAATTTTGAAATTAGTAGGTAGTTGATTTAGACCTACCCAAGCCAAGTTGCAATACCAAATTGAATTCACACCAGAAAGAGTCAATGTCAGCCTTGTATTCAACTTGAGTGGCCCGAATTAGGCAAAGAACACAATGCGTCAATTTATTCATATTGCTTTAAAATAAAGAACAATAACATCAAATAAGAATGAAATAACAATGCTTTGAGTAAACTAAATAATACATCAATTACACTATGAATAAAAGTAGATAACCATGAGTAATAAAATTTAAAATATAATCTAATCTAATAATAAAAATTAAGAAGTGAAAAGTACAATAATAAAATATGTAAAAAAAGAGCTGGCCTGGTTGTTGAGATATGCGTACACACATTGACTTAAAACTGATAGTTATTCTCTTTCTACAAGTATTTACGAAACTTGTTAATTCTAAGATATAACTCAATCAGTTCGTAACGATATCTCCTCCGTGTGCACGATCACATGAAGATTAGGTTCAAATCTATATGTGTCTAGTTCCCCATAAACATAATACGTAAAGTACTCTCAAAGAAAAAATATGCAGAGGAAGAACAAGGTAGGAATATCTCTAAAGATTTAGGCTTTTCTTCTTACAGACAAAACAAATGATTGGTGACCACATATATAAATATAATATTATAGTTGTAATTGTTAGTGGTTAAATAAATATAAGAATTAAGAAATAAAATTCACCATAAATATATAATTTAAGTTATATGATAATATTCATCGTAAATGTAATTTAATTATATTATTTATTAAAATATTCATAACAGCCATTAGGTGTAAGATATTTTCTTATATTTGTGGCCCATATAATTTGTACACGTGATTTACTTCTATTTATTTGGTGATTAAATAAAATAGATATCAGATTAATATTATATTATTTAGTCAACTTATAAATTACTATTTTGGTAATTAATTATTGGAGAAATATTTTCCTATTTATTCCTTACTTTGATGGAAAGTGTAAATAAAAGTTACTAAATGAAAAACTGGTTCTCTCTCTGTCTCTATAAAAGTGCATATTCCCATCAGTTATATACGTTAATGAAATAACACGTAATGTTTATGTGTGCAAAAGGTCAAGAGAGATAAATCAGTTTCCACACTTTGATTTGCAGTTTATCACGTTATTCGTTTCGCAGAAAGGATCTCGACGATTGCCTTGATATCTACGATATTTATAATTACAGATGAAGGTATTTATATCTAACTATTTATTTATGCATTATAGGTATGTGAGAATAATGAAGTTCTAAGATTTGGAATTCATGTTTATTTGTGATTAATGATTTGCACGAATAATTAAAGTTTACATGTGGTATCAGAGCTTACGGTTTATGAACTCATTATTTTGAATAATGTTGCATAAGTTTAAATTAAAATTAAAAAATTTAATTTATTAGATTCTACGTTTATATAGACATATACAATAGCGTTCTCATGGAACTGTTTGTGCGTGATATGTTTTAATCAATTTGTTGGCATCAAATAATTAATCAAAATTGTGTGCCTCGATATTCGAACTTAAATGAATTACTGAAAATTGAATAATGATACATAGTTTACATGATAGTTTCCATATATGTAAAACAGATGCATAAATATAGTTATTAAAACAGATGCATAAATATGGGTATTGATTCGTGATCAGTGTGGGTGCATGATGGATTCGTATGATAGATCGGTGAATTTATTTTGGTTTACATGCATCGATTTCCGAGCCTATATTTTGATTTCCATAAATTGATTTCTTAGCCTCGTTGAATTGCTTGATAATTGAATTATATATATGTGCTTAATTCTTGATTTTCATGCATGGTCTAATATAAGTTAATGACAGAGTCACATTAGTACTTGACATGAAATTATAGAATAATCATATATGTCAAGTTAATGGTTATGTAAGTTAAGTTTGTGATTTGCATGATTAAATAATTTTATAGATTGATTTCTTTAATTAGAAATCTGAATTTCTAGAATAATATGTGTCTAGATATTTGATCTTATTAGACATGCAAATAAATTATTATTTTGTACCCATACTTACATACATGATAAATAATCAATTTAGAATTGATTCAATTATGATCTTAGAGTCCGGAAATAAAATAATATATTTTATTATGCATATAAAATAAAAAATGATATTTTCTTTAAAATTCCAGACTATTAAATTTTTGGGACTAAGTTGCTTAAACTTGGATCGATCAGTATAAGTATGTGTGTATAATGTTTAATGGGTAAATTAATGATAAATTAGTAATTAGCTAATTTAATATTCATGTTATATGAGGGTTAGTAGTTACTAAAGTGGCCTAAACATAATGATTGATGAATATTAATTTTAGTAGTAAATATAATTAATGATAAATTAGTCACTACTTAATTTAATATTCATATTATATAAAGGTTGGTACCTGCCAAAGTGGCCTAACCATAATAGTTGATGAATATTAATTTTAGTAGTAGACATAATTGCAATATTTCATGAATAATTTATGCTTATGATTTTTTATTTTTATTTTTTATTTTTTTTATTTTATGATATTTATGAATATTGAGTTTATTTAATTATGAAAATAAACTAATATAGGATATCCAAAGGTAACTTATTTGTTTAATTAAATAATGCATCATCAATGAAGGTATACATCTAAATACATGTAAGCATCATTATTAGTATTTTATAGTTGCCACCCAAAGGGGTACTATAGTTATACATTGTATTTATATTTTTAAATTATACATATGTGTTGTTAACTCAAAGCATTATTGTTGTGAGTATTTTATTTTATTATGTTTGTTTTATTACATCCCTTAATTCGTATGCTACATCTGCTCTAATTCTCAATAGGACTAATTTTTCATAAAGGAATGAGTAAGTTAAGTTTAAAATTTAGTTAGCATTTTAAATTGATAAACCTACTATTATTACTGATAAAGACAGTATGGAAGAAAAGATACTACATAAAGCTTAGGAGAGATCGAGTAGATTAAGCATTATGGTTATGCCAATAATTGTCCTCCATAGTGATAGTGGTAAGGAATATTTGACTAGAAGAATGTTTTCGTATTGTAGATAAATATCTAAAACGAAAATTATTAATTTTTATCACTACTATGCATTTTTGTTGGTACTCTTACCAGGTATGGGTATGTTCTTAAGACGACTAATGTTGCTACAAAATTGAGAACCTTATGGATGATTGTGGATGATAATTTTCTTATTCAATTTATTCTCAATTTTTTGTCTACTCAGTATGGGTCATTTCGAATTAACACTATTAAGACAAGTGGAAAGTGAAAGAATTGACTATTATGTTAATTTAGGAGGAAACAAGGCTTAAGCAGCAAGTAATCATTTTCATCTCATGACTCAAGAAGGTAGAAAGAAATTTGGGAATAAGCCTGAAAAGGCATCAAGTGAACAACTCCTAAAATTAAAAGATTTAGGTCAATCTACTAAAAGAAATAAATGTAATAATGTAAAAGTGTCATTTATGTATTGAACACTTTTAGAAAGATTACATGAAACATAAAGAATGATTCGAAAAGAAAGAGAAGTCTTTTAAGTTTTGTATTTTTTGAATCACTTATTGATATTCCTTCTAATACATTATAGGTTGACTTAAGTATTAATGTTTATGTTTCTAATAGATGTAAGGATTTTTTATGGCCTAAACTACAAATTCAAATGAAAATTTCTTATTTATGAGAATTGGGAAAAAGTTTTGTTAAAAATATTGAGACATTTTGTTTAGTCTTAGATAC